TATTCCAAGGAATGATGGAAATTATTCATCGAAATTTTCACATTTTAATTTTGTATCATGGCGCTTTTTAAGGGTTCTTACCGAATGTCCACAGATATATGTCAGTTTGTTCAAGCTCAAGACTATACAGAACCCATCATACATGTATTTCCATGGGCAGTCGGTAACTAACCTAGTAAGCGCATTTTTTTTTTTTGAGGACGAATAACAGATAACAAACCTTGAGAGATCAATTGCAATTGAATTTTCTCACATGAAAGAATCTTCATTTGTAATCTTCTTTATTCACATTATTTTAATGAAAAAAAGGAACTGCTTTAAATTTAATTGAAACTTTTCCAATATTTTTGGTGTCTTGAAAAGCAAATATAGTGCTGGCAAGATTTTTTCTGTATTCATTAAAATTACTGGGACCTATGAAATTACTTCCCTATATTCGTAATATGTTATATCTCTATAAGGAATTCGTTGAATTTGTATAGCTGGGGATCCAAGAAAACTTCACTGTATCCATGAATTCTGAATATCCATATTTTGTACTAAATGAGTTTTACAGTAATTGTGACAAAACAAAGTTTCAGATACACTCTATATGTATGTAACGGGAGAGGAGAAAATGCAGCGGACCAGACCGGGATTCGAACCCGGGCCCCCTGAAACTCCGGTCAGGTGCTCTACCAACTGAGCTATCTGGCCACCGGCGATCGAATCCGGCTGACCGCCACATTCCTCCCTCCTTAAAGGTCTTTGGCCCTCCAAAGACCCCAACGCAGGCTCATCCCTGGCAGGTCTTTCACCTGTCAAGTCCAGGGCATGGCACGGCACCAAATGTAACGGGAGAGGAGAAAATGCAGCGGACCAGACCGGGATTCGAACCCGGGCCCCCTGAAACTCCGGTCAGGTGCTCTACCAACTGAGCTATCTGGCCACCGGCGATCGAATCCGGCTGACCGCCACATGTATAACAAAAACAGTTTTTATTTATTTAGAGTTTTATATATACATTTGTAACATAAACAGTATTGTATTTTGGCTGCCCCTTGGTTGACAATACATGTGTGTTTTCTTGGGGTGAAAATATTCAATGTTGCACCCAAATACAGGCAGTATACATTAATAATACAAATATTAAAGAAGTACATGTATTTACAACATTAAATTACTAGACCGGTACATTATACATTAAACTAAACCGTAGGGAATGAGAATAACTGATTGAGGCCTGAATTTATTTTGTGTTAATTATATATTGTCAGAATAAAAATTTTTAGCCATATTTCCTGAAAAAGACTACACATGATGATTTTGATTCAAGAGTTCAAAATGATTTTGAGTGGATTGAATTATAGGAGGAAAACAGCTTACTCAAAACTTTCGTAGATTTTCTTCTGCTTGCGATTGCGACGAACAGCTATCGCAATACCTACAATTACGCAAACTGCTGTAGTCAAGCCAACAGACAAGCCCGCAATGGCGCCTTTTGACATCCCCGGACTGTCGTCTTTTTCCTGCACTACATGGTTACCTGTGAATTTCTTCATGAGGGTGGCCATTTCTCTGGGTGCTGAATTCAATGTGGTCCAGCTTGATTCGTCTGGTTTATCTCCTTTCATTTCGGGATCAATAAGTTGGACCCACGATTCAGAATCATGAGAAATTATGTAATTTGCTGGTTCCTCTAAACTCTCTGCAGGAACATCAAAAAACGGCGGGAGCTGAACGGTAGGGAATTTTAGATCGGACATTTGGCCTGTCCGTACGCAGTATTCTATTTCACAGTTGTTATCAATTGTGGCTAAGTGGTTACTGAAACCCTTTGGACAAGATTTTGTATATTTACTATCAACTAAAGGGTTACCATGCTGACAACTGAAGAAACCACCAAATGGCACGGCAGATTTGGCGCCAAGTTCATAGTCATCACTGATGCAGACATAGACATTAGAGGCAATCTTCATTGGATTATAGTACTGCGGGCATGATTTTGATTGAGTTACAAAGTTACTAGTTCTGTCTGAGTACAGACCTCCAAAGAGAAATCCGCTGTTTTCTTGAACAGGTGTGTTTGGTTTTGCACGACACCAATACGATGTATATGTTGCAGAGCCATAATAAGACTTGTCGTGACAACACTTAAAAAAGGCCCAGCATCTATGACACTTGTGCTCATGTTGAGCTTTATGTGTTTTTCCTTCATAAAGAAGAACTGTATCAAATCCTTTTGGACATCGAAAGTTCTGTGTTTGAGGATTTCTTACAGTAATGTTCAGTGTGTTGCACATGTTTTCGTTATTCATTAATCCTCCCTGGAACTGACATGTTTGGTAAATTCCACCAAAGCTAAGGTTCGTTAGAGGTGCATGACAGGTACCATCATCTAGATTTGAAATTTTGCTGAAGTTTGGTGCGTCTGGATCGGTGCATCCTGGGTACGTGTTATGGAGGAAGTAGGACGAGATTGCACTTCGAACATTTTGAACGATTTCTTCAACCAAACTTGCAGACAATTCAGGAAGCGCAGTAGTAGAGATGACGTAGTCTAAAGGAAATCCATTTCTATCCACTGCAACCAAATCATTTCCAATAGTAGTTGTCCATTTACTGAGTGTAAAATTTTCAGGATTCATGGGCGGACCTCCGTACGCTCTGATGTCCGAGTTTTTAACGTTCCGCATGTATTTTTGAAGTGCAGTTTTTGAGTATGAGAATTTATCTTTTACATCAACACTTGCAAGTCCAGGCAGAGAGACACTCGCTGCATACCCTATTTGAACTTTGTCGATTGTGCTATCTTGGAGAAGGGAAGAGTCAATCTGGTCTACTTTGACGATAGACGCACCAGCATCAACGCTCGTAAGTACGTGAGTTCCGAAATCTCGAACAAGCAGTTCACTTTCATATTTTGTCGACAATTTTCGATTTTGTTGAATATGGTTGGCAATCTTTAGCAGACGATTTCGGAAAGACTGATCTAACTGTACATCAGGAAGAATCTTTGCTGTGTACCGGACGAATCGTGCTTGGACTTTAGTTGTGATTGATTTGTCTTCTAGCTGATGCTTTTTAATGTGCTCATACTCGGAAGACAGACTGGCTGCAATCTTTACACCCTTAATGGTTGCCGAAGCTGCGTTGTTCACAGAGAACGATGTATCAGATTCATACTGAGACCAGTGATCATACACCTTAGAGAAAACGTTCATGTGACTCGTCTTAATAGGAATGGTTACTACTCCATCTGGGATGAGATATCTTCTGTCCTCTGTAGTTTTGCACTTTGAATAATTAAAATTCACAACAACGCCCCGATTCTCATTCACAAGATTATCCCAACCAAATCCAGGCATAACCTCGAACATGAACGGCATCTCCCCCTTTCCATCATAGCAGGCACGTGGGTCACCGATGCTGAAATTTTGCGAGGCTTCGATGGCGGCACAGAACAAAAATATAACAGCGTATAAATTCAACATGTCTGCCCTGTTCTAGCTCATCTTCCTAACTGACTGTTTTGATTTAGGCGAGAATATTTGTACTTATGTGTAGAGGAAGTAGATGATCATAATAATCACTAGAATTTAGATTTGTCTCACTTTGTGAGGAAGTATCATTATTGTAAAGTATTTGGTCATTAAGGAAGATTTCATACAGATTAATACACGTGATTTGATGAGGAATGTTTATATTGTGAGAACTATAAACATGACAAAACAACTTGTCGCATGAACAATGTACTTGAAAGTCATCGAGAATGTTTGCGTCACATAGACTGATATAGTGCTTTTAACCTTATAATATATTAAGGGTAAAGGTTAATTTGAAAAAATAGAAAAGATATGATGGAATCCAATGGACTGAACGAGTTGAATATACCTCGCGATATCGTATTAAATAACACTATAAATACTTCCTTGGTAGTATAAAAACATTAATAGTGCTTTTTTTTCTCTTGCATTTGTTTGTTACTGGTATATATGATATTGTAAAATACTTCCTTCTTTTAACACATGAGTGATCTTCAAATAATCAATTTCGCAATAATTCAAGCATGACAGGACTGACCAATTAACTTCTCAATTGAATTATTATTAATTTTCACCGCAAATTAAAATGAAACAAGTGAATTAATTAACATTGAGAAAATAAATCCATGATTTTGGTTTTGGATACACATTATACTCCTCCTTCCAGTCCAATTTCAGTTTGTTTTCTGATTCAATTCAATTCAATTTATTCACTCAAAACCATGTAAATGGTACATGAGGTACAAAAAACATATAAAACATATATGCATATAATACAGTGGGTCAAGCAGAAGGTGATAATTAAGGAGAACAGACAATACTATTAATTTTAGAAATAAATGTACATAATTTTTTCAAAGAATCAACATCATTTTGGTACATGACTTCACGAAACTTGATAATATTTGGGTTAGAAAAAAATTTTTGGTTCAAATAAACTTTCCTCAGTTGGTTTAAAGCACTACATTCTAAGATATAATGATATTCATCTCCTATCTGGTTACTACTGCATAAGCTACAAACTCTTTCATTTCCCTGAGTACCATTCCATCTACCTGTTTCAATTGGAAGGTGGTGATTTGTGGTTCTAAACTTAACAAAAGTTTTTCTAAATTTAAATGATAACAGTGTTAAATATTTTTCGCACTCAAAATTGGTTTTATAAATTTATAATTTAAACTTTTTGAAGATTCTTGAACTTCACTATTCCACGCTTGAATATATTGATCTTTTAATCTTTGTTTGACTGTAGCAGTTATCCATTCTACATTGTATAAGTATTGTTCGTGCTCATACCATATATTTGATAAACCACATCTATCAAAAATCTTTTGTTTAAATGATATCCATCAATTTTTCATTTCCCCTTTATCATGTTGTTTACGTAAGTACATATATACAATTCTACACAATTTGTTTTCTTTTCTATTCACAAGTTTTGCCAAATATTTTATCATTCTTGAGTAAATATTTATATGTAATGGAAACCGCCCAGTTTCTCCATAAATCATATAACTTGGAGTGCTACTTTTTAAATTCAATATATGTTTTAAATAACGTAAATGTACTCGTTCAATAATATCGATGTTTTCATAACCCCATATTTCACAGCCATATAACAATACTGGTAAAACTACTTTATCAAATAAATCCAATTGACATTCGAAGGGGAGATTAAACTGCCTAATTTTACGTATCACACCATACATCGCTTTTTGTGCTTGTTCGCATAGGTGTTTTCTTGCTTTACATAATGAGCCTGTACGAGAAAATACAATCGATCCCCAAATAATTAAAATCCTTGACTACTCTATGATACTGCCATTATATGTAAAAATATTCTTTGGCTGTCTACCCTTTGAAAAAATAAGTATCTTTGTTTTCTTAATATTCACACATAATTTCCATTCTTCACAATATTTGTAAAATTCATTTAGTGCTCTCTAAAGATCTTCAGCAGTTTCCGCAAGAATTACAGTATCATCGGCATAAAATAAGATAAACAATTTCATATACAAAAACAACTCATCCTCTATACCTTTGCTAATACTAGACAAACCAACAATATTCTTTTCTGTCAAAAAAATCTTCCAAGTCATTAATATATAATGAAAATAAGAAAGGCGATAAGTTTTCACCTTGTCGTACACCAATATTACAATTGAAAAATTTAGATGACAAACCATTCATATGTATTTTAGATTTGATACCACTATACAAATTTTTAATAAAAGTAAAACATTTACCATCTACTCCACTTCTCAAAAGTTTGCACCAAAGTCCCTCTCGCCAGACTGTATCAAACGCTTGTTTAAAGTCTATAAACGCACAAAACAATTTTCTTTTGCTGTTAATTAGTGTCTGAGATAAAAATTGTAACAATAGGATATTGTCTAAAGTAGAGTAACCTTTTCTGAACCCAGTCTGACTTTCTTTAATTAGCGTGACTTCTTCTGCATAATTTTCTAGACGGCTACTTAAGATTCTGGTAAAAAGTTTACCTAGACAGCTTAAAAGGGTAATCGGGCGGTAATTTTCAGGATGCGTTGGGTCTCCCTTATTTTTATAGATTGGTTTCAGGATACCAATTAACCAGTTTTATGGTACAATACCAGTATCAAAAATAAGATTGAAAAAAGGTTTCATAAATTGGCAAAAATAATGACAAAGTTGTTCTTATGTGCTCATTTGAAATATTATCGAAGCCCGGGGCCTTACTATTCTTCAAATCATTAACAGCCGATGAAATTTCCTCCCTGGTAATTGGGTAGTCTAACAGCTCATTATTATTATGATTATCTACATGTAAATAGTTCGTCCAGTTAACCTTAGTATTTTCAATATTATTAGTTTCATTCATTTCTCTAAAATAGTTAAACATCGAGTCTAAATCCGCAGAGCTTTTTTCTGATCTTTTAGTACTATTAAGAATGTTCCAATATTCTTTTGTATTTGTTGTAAGTAATTTCATAAGTTTCTGCGATAAATCTTTTCTGTACTGTTTTATTGATTTATCCATTACCTTTTTATAATATTTACTTGCTTTCTTCAGACTCTCTTTATTTTCCCTCGTTTTATTTGCATTATTTGCGCACTTCGCTAAATGAAATTTTCTCCTTGCTGTTTTACAGTTATTGTTAAACCATGGTTTATCTTTCTTCTTTACATTACAAGTTCGAAAACTTTTCCTTCCGAATGATTTCTCAGCAGCATTGAAAAATGTGTCACACATTCGTGAAATAACATTGTTGACACTTTCATTAGTAACATTATTTGAGGTTCTTAAATTTAAAAGTTCTTGTTCGATACTTTTTAAAATAGACTGGTCAATGTTCTCACGTCTAGATAGTTCACGTCATGAGGATGGGCATCCCCTATCATCACTAGCGCCCTCTGTGTGCCAGGCGTCCAGGACAAAGTTTGTACCTGGTGCAAGACCAGCTCATAACACTCATCGGAATCCCCGCCTCCAGTGGAACCAACACTTTTCAACCAGTTGCACAGTTCATTCAGATCCGTTGAAATAAGATGTATTTTTGTCACAATAGTCTCCGTGAGCGAATACAGCGATTTTAATACCGGGGATATCCGTTTGTAGCCGCTGGATCATTTCCTGACATTCTGTTTAACTGCATTGATAGAACTGGACATAGAGCCAGTTGTATCAAACAAGAAACGTATCTCAATGGAACCTACTGGTGGAACAGCCATCTTAATTTGTCTTTCTAGAGTTTTGTGTGAAGTATGATTGTTGAGTTTTGTGTGAAGTATGATTGTTTCTTAATTCCCATGCTTCTGCTGATAAAGACTTACGATTGAGTAAGTAAAGACTAGTCTTGCTATTGGATGCAGACTTACAATTCACTTGGTTGTGAATTGTGAAACAAAAAGTAGAGTGATTCAAGACTTACGACCGAGCACAAACTGCTTTCGCAAACACAAATAAGCTTTCAACAGATAATTAACGAAACAAACAATGAGGTATTATTACATTGGCAAAAAAACAAATCCGAAAGTTAGGAAATCTATATCTTTTGCGACTTTTAAAAGAAAAGATGAGCGTAAATATTTCCTCGTTTAGCTTTTACATCTTAACAAATAGCCTATAAACCGCCAAGGAACTTTCAAAATATGCATATTTCATTAAGTAAGGTTCTAAGTAAATAGATCTCAAAGGAATACAATTTGGTTCAAATATAAGCTGCCAAAAGAAGAAATATGCTATGAAGAGAAACGAAAGTATTGTCGTAATGGTCGACGAATTACCTGACAAATCCCTCCAGATTAGGTCGATAAGACAGGCTATGTCTAGCAGACGTCTGGCAAGATGGAGGTCAGGGAGATCAATGTTAGTTGAGATAGGTCGTACACGGATGAGTCGGGCTGTGGTACCACACTCCTCCCGTCCTTGTAGAGCCAAGGGTATCCATTGGCGAATTTTATCAATCAGTAATTATATTTGAAAAATCCACCCCCAATATTGTACAAAATCATCTAAATGTCAACTTGTGCAAAAGTACGAAAAATATACATGCAAATACAACCCAATCATGACTACTTTTCAACAAAGTACCGGTGAGAGACATAATCCCTTCACATATACATGTTGTAAGAAAAATGTAGAGTAATCATGACAAATATACAATGCGTTTATACACTTGCATAACAAAAATTACTTTTTCTGAAGTAATTAAAATATACATATATAGAAAATACACTATATAATTGATAAACATGATGAGAAAAAAAAATTTATAATCTGTAGAACTGCCTGGCATTGTTGTTACATGTCTCCAGGATAAATGAAACTGGTGTGTTGCGGATAGAAGCAACCTGTGCAGCAAGAGATGCTAGGTTCCAGGGGTGGTTCATCTTGCATCCAGGAGCTGGTAATAAATATGGAGCATCTGTCTCCAACAACAAGCGCTCAACTGGGATCCTGGCCACCAGATTTGGGTCCTGCGCTGATCTCATTGTGACGCCAAATTTCACTGCAGGCAATTCCATCTCCCACTGGCGTAGCTCCTCCACCGAACCTGTGAAGCAATGTCGATGGAAAGCATGGTGTGTCATGTCCATCATACGGATCATGGCCAAGGTGCGTTTGGCTGCCTCACCGGATCCATCATCC